CATTTCCTCCGCAAATCATAACAAACCATCCATAACGAAAAAGTATAGAGAGACAATATAATAGAAAATGCAAGGTTGGCCACCTTTGTGTGGTTCGGCACCAAGTGCCCACACACCCGTCTGTAGCCGAAGCCGTACACTCACACATATACATACATATATTTATTTGATCCATAAAAGGGTGGAGGGCAGGAGGCAACTTACCTTAGACAAGCACTCCACCAGCAAGAAAGCACCAACCCCATCCGCCATAGGTCCAAAAAAACATGGAGAACCCTCCACGTCGGCCCACAAAACCACAAAACAGCATAACACAAAAGGCTCCACTAACGAAAAAGCCCCGACCACACATGCCAATGGTCTAAAAACAAACTAGAGCCCTCTGCACCGGTCTACAACGCCACCACAAATAAAAAATACACCGCAGGACCTGTACACAACACCAAGAGTGCCATGAACCTGCCCCTGCCGCGCATCGGGCAGAATCGGATGATGTCCTAGTGCTACAGCGAGGCCGCTGCAAGTACTATGATCTCAACGCGACACCTGGAGCGCTACTGCTTAAAACACCCTACAAGATGACCCGTTCTTCCATGTGCTCCAAAAGAGCAGTCCGCGGGAATGACACCCACATCAAACACTCTCTGAGCCTCCTCGCACAGATATCGTGGCCAAAACCCCAAACTCCCACCCCAGAAAAAAACTTGCGGCCTGTGTTTGTGTCTGTGCGCGTGCGTGTCTGTGTGTGTGTTACATGCTGCACCTGCAACAGGCTGCACGGGCCCCTTTCAGGTCCGTGACATTTTCAGGCCAAAAGCCTGAAAACAAGGGCCTACAGGCCCCGTGTCTTTTCAGTCTGAAAGCCTGAAAACAAGGGCCTACAGGCCCTGTGCCGTTTCAGGCTAAATCAGGGCCTTTCCAGCTCTGAGTGTTTTCAGCCTGAAACTGAGGGCCATTTTCAGGCCCTCATCAGTTCGACCCGCCCTGAAACTCAGGCAACAAACCAGGGTTTTAGCACAGGCCATTTCGGGCCTGTTTTCAAGACAACCTGTTACATGCCCAGTTGGGCGATGTACATAATAACCGAGGATCCGCAATGTGATGAAAAGGACTGAATGGCCAATACAGTGCTAGTGAAATCTCAACAAGCAGTGTACATCCTGATACATACAACAATGGTGTTTGATAGCGCAGTGGAAGATTTAGATACAAGTCCTGACCTGACCGGGACTGACCTCTTTCACGTAGTACAAGATAGCGAAGCAGAAGGCTAGAATACTAATGACGAGCCCAATCAATGTCTCAATGCAGACTAAACATACATCATTCTCACCACAAGGTGTGAAGGGGCCTGGTGCTATACACAGGAAGAGGCGCCAGGTCCAGACATGCACAGACGAAGAGGAGGCGAGAGATGGGAAAGTCGTCAACACCAAGTCTCCTTACAAGTCCCAAATAATCCCTCGTCAAAATGTCTGAAGTCCAATGTCAAGTCTGGATCCAAATGTCACCAAGCTCTCTCTCTCTCTCTCACACACACACACACACACACACACACACACACACATAGTCTGCTGATGCAGTGAAGTCAGATAATGAGAGGGTGATAGGGAGATGGTGGACTGAGAAGAGGAAGAAGAAGAACTCTCTCTCTCATATGCCAGGTACTAACCTGTGAAGGTGGCACTGTGCTGCAGGTACCTTGAAGACGAAGCTGGAGCGATGGCGCTGCAGGTAAGTCCCTCTGGCCTCCGCCCAATCTCTCTCTCTATAGTACTACCCTAGCTAGGGCGCCCAGCGCTGAAGACTACAGCTAACGCTACTAGCACCCAGCGCTGAAGACTACTGCTAACGATACTACTACTACTGCAACGCTCCTCCAGAGTGCTGCTGCCGAATCCTGAAGACTACCTCCTGCCTCCTGAACTGCACGTGAAGTGCCTGGGAAGTACCTAGGAACTACCTGTAGCCTGCGGGGCGGGCCAGTCCTTTATAGTGCTGGCCCGTCCAGGAGGCTGCTCTTGCCAATGCCAAAACATGACAGACCCTGGGGTTGAAGCTCAAACGAAGGTTGTCTTGAAAATAGGAGAAAAATGGCCTGAGCTAAAACCCTGGTTTGGTGCCTGAGTTTCGGGGCTGGCCGAACTCATGAGGGCCTGAAAATGGCCCTCAGTTTCAGGCTGAAAAGACTCAGGGCCGGAAAGGCCCTGATTTAGGCTGAAACGACATACGGCCTGTAGGTCCTGGTTTTCAGGCTTTCAGGCTGAAACGACACGGGGCCTATAGGCCCTTGTTTTCCAGCTTTTACGGGCCTGAAAGTGGCCCGTGCAGCCTGTTGCAGGCGCAGCGTGTAACACAACCCCTGGTTGAGCTTCAACGCCACGGTCTGGCACGTTTTGGCAGTGGCAAGAGCAGCCTCCTGGACGGGAAAGCACTATATAGGACTGGCCCGCCCTGCAGGCCGGCAGGTAGTTCCTAGGTACTTCCCAGGCACTTCACGTGCAGTTCATGAGGCAGGAGGTAGTCTTCAGGATTCGGCACCAGCACTCTGGAGGAGCGCTGAAGGAGTAGTTGTAGCGCTAGCAGTAGTCTTCAGCGCTGGGCGCTAGTAGCGTTAGCAGTAGTCTTCAGCGCCGGGCGCCATAGGAGCTAGAGTAGTACTAGAGAGAAAGAGATTGGGTGGAGGCCAGGGATACTTACCTGCAGCGCCATAGCTCCAGCTTCATCTTCGGGGTACCTGCAGCACAGCGCCATCTTCACAGGTTAGTACCTGGCATACGAGAGAGAGAGAGAGTTCTTCTTCTTCCTCTTCTCAGTCCACCATCTCCCTCTCACCCTCTCGCTACCTGACTTCACTGCATCAGCAGACTACGAAAGAAAGAGAGAGCTTGGTGACATTTGGATCCAGACTCGACATTTGGGCTTCGGACATTTTGACGAGGGATTATTTGGGACTTGTAGCAAAGACGTGGTGTTGACGACACTCTCATCTCTCCCCCTCTTCTTCGTCTGTTCCCCTCCTCTTCGTCTGTGCATGATCTGGGCCTGGCGCCTTCTTCCTTTGTATAGCGCCAGGTCCCTTCACACCTTGTGATGAGGCTGATGTATGTTTGGTCTGCGTTGCAACATTGATTGGGCTAGTCATTGGTATTCTAGCATTCTGATGCGCTGTCTTACACTACGTGATTGAGGTCAGTCCCGGTCAGGTCAGGACTTGTATCTAAGTCTTCCACTGCGCTATAAAGCATCATTCTTGTATGTACCAGAATGTACACTGCTTGTTGAGATTTCACTTGCACTGCATTGTCCATTCAGTCCTTTTTATCACATTGCAGATCCTCGGTTTATTATGTACATCGCACAACTGGGCATGTAACAGTTGGCATCGGAACACCGCACGTGAATCAGGACAACCTGATGTGACACGTGTGCAGGGACTAAGTAGCTGATTAGTCTTGATTGATTGATTAGAGCACACTAGTTAGCTCCCAAAATCACGATTTTGACCTCACTGCAAGGAATATGAGTGTGAGCGATATACATAAAACCAAGTTGCAAAATCACACAGCCGAGCAAGTAGTAGTATCCCAAGTAGAGAGTACAAATGCACCGAGAAAACCATCCATAAAGAGCAATACAATGAAGTATTGAGCCAATGTCCAAGCCCGTAGGCCACACCAACACAGTATCCAGAGTCGCTCTCTCTGTCTGGCGCACAGCGCCCAGCCTACTCTACCATACTATCCTACTCTACAGCTGGTTCCCGCAACAGGATCACTTCGGCTCACGAAGACCAATGTACATGACTGTCAACACCATCGGCAACCTCTCTTCATGTACCAGGTACGTAACTCGTCACCCTCAATCAGACCTTGATTATCCCACACAGCGCCTCACTCCCTGAAGACCACCCGATCATCCGCTGTACCCCCTGGCGCCCAGCAGCCAGGCTATGGCTGCCTGCGCCCCGCTGCCCTGCAGCGCCCCACTTCACCTCTTGCGCTCCGTCAGCGCCCTTGGCAGCAGCGCAGCATCGAGCAAATAGCGCAGCAGCGCTTCCCCAATGCCAGCACCGGCCAGAATGCCTGGCCTGGGCTGCCTCACTTCCTTTATTTAAGTGGCAGCCTGCTGCATGCTGCGTGTGGCCTGGCTGGAAGCTTCCAGTAGCTTCCGGTTGGGCCTCAGACCCTGTGCCCAGGCCGAGACTTACAGTTGAGGGCCTGGGCCCTTTACAGTTGGGCGAGGCCTGAGTCTCTGGACTTGGGCTGTTAGCTGCATCTGCGCAGGGCCCCCAGGTAGGTGCGTCGGCTGTACTGCTTTTCCAAAGGCTGACGACCTGCTTCTCAATGTATCGGCCCTGCTTTGTGTGTAGGTGCCCAGGCACAACTTTTGTGGCCTGGGCCAACTGTACGGCGCAGCTTAGTGAGGCTCGCGCATTCACTCAACCAACTGACGCGCTGCAAGAGCCTGAATACCCACATATGGAAATGTCGAATTTGGCCTGTGACGAATATTCAGGCCCGCCTTCACTTAGGGCGGGCACTTGGCTTGCTGGGGCCTTGGCCCAGAACAATGTGATGTCTGATAGGGCCACTTGAGGGCTTGTTCCTCACATCAATGCCAAAAATCAAAATTCTTTGTCTTTTCTTGGATTTTCTTTTCTCGCTATTTCTGTTGTGGAAAATCGCAATAGCACAACATCTGAAATTCCGGTTTTCGTTTTTCTTCTGAAAATTCGAAATTTCGTTGTTAGAAAATCCAGAATATCTTTTTTTTTGAAAATTTCGATTTCCTTTTGCAATTTCCCATTATTTAGAAATCCGGAATATTTTTTCCGAAATTCGTTTTTTTTTTAAACGGTACGGGAAATCCGTCTTGCAGTTATCATCCTCCAACTGCGCGTACTCTCATCTGAGTAATTCCGAATATTTGCTGTATTTTATTTTTTTTCGGAATTCTCATCAGACAATCATTTGCAGTCTGAAAGTTCGAAATTTTTCCTCAGGGTAAGTTCGCACTTCAGGGGGAATTGGGAAGCCTACTGAACTTGCAAACGAGTATATTTTTCTATTTCTCGAATTTTTTTGCAAAGTTCAAACTTTTCTTTTTTTGATTAGTGGCTCCTTATCTGGGCGATTTATCCCACCCACCCCTCCCCACCTATGTTGTTGCCCCCTCTGGTCTTACCTTCTCTATCTGTCTCCGGGTACCCCCTGCGACGGCATTGGAGAGTTGCCACGTCAGCAGGCCATGTCAGCAGGCCACGTCAGCCATCAGCAGTGCCACCTCAGCAGCAGGGAGTACCACGTCAGCAGGCCCCCGGCCTGGTCTATGCTTTTGCACTTGCAAACAGCCGCCATGGACCAGAAGTCCGGGGAAACGGACGAGGCCTATCAGGCCCCGATGCTGCTTCTGATTACCGAAGCCAAGCAACGGTCGGATGCAGTAGCAGCCGCAGCAAAGAAGAAGGGAGAGGACGCCGAGAAGGGACGTCTGTTGGCAATTGAACAGCAGCGCCAGCAAGACGAGGCAGCAGCAAAGGCTGCCGATGAAGAACGACTTCAAGGACGCGAGAAGATATTCAGCGGAGAGGGAGCTTTGCTCACAATGGCAGCGGACTGGCGGGACGAGGCTGAGAATGGAAAGCTGGAAGAGAGTGGAAACAAGATCGCTCTACTCCTCCCCTATCTCACGGACCTCCTGGCCACGTGCTTTGCACAACAGGAGGACATTCACAACCTCGACGACGCTGTTCAGACACACAATCAGGTGTTTGACCAACTCACCAGCCGCCTCCAGCAGCTGGAACAAACCGTCGACGCCCCCGTTGCCAGCTCTTCCAACACCTCCGAACGCCTCGAGGCATTGGAGATTGACTTTGGATCCCTCAAGGACGACGTGCAGTTACAGCAAAACGCCACGCAACACTTGGAGCAGCGGATCTATACCGCCGCCACTCACTCGAGATCTGAACAGCGCGAGACAACTCCAAAGTTCGATGATCAGGAGATCTTCTGTGATTCGACGAAAACGGACCCGATTCCGTGGTTCCACAAGTTCGAACTCCAATTGCAGCTACACTATGTCAGCGAGCACAAGCATCACGGGTACTTATTCTCCCGCTCGGGGGGCTCTTGCCAAGCGTGGTTGGACAACTGTTGTCCAAGTACGGAGTGGTAGCTGCCGACTTGCATACCAAGATCAACTGGGATGATCTAAAGGCAGCGTGGCATATGCAGTTCCAAGTAGAGCCGCCGAAGATCAAGGCAATGGACAAGCTGATGACCTTCAAACAAGGCAAGCTGCCCAGTGTTGACTGGATTGCCGAGTACCAACGCTTGACATTCATCCTAGACATTCAAATGGACTTCAAAGCCATCAAACACTACATCTCGAGGTCGTGTTCGACGTTGGGCAATGCCTTGACTCACGTCGAGGACACCCCGACGACACCGACGGAGCTCTTCGACAAGGCCGCGCAGATTATTGTCACGAACAAGGAGGCTAAGAACCTCCGCCGTTCGTCGGCGACAGGCCCGAGCAGAGATCAGCATCGGCCGAAAGTGGTCGTATGCGCGGCGGCAACGCCAATCGACCAAACTAGCGAGGCCGTGTCTGCCAATGAAGGGGACAGACTCGCAGCCGCCCGGAAAGGTGGCCGCCCCGACAAAGGCCGAGGACGCGGCAAGACGAAGACAAACATCGCATCTAGCCCCGGGCCCGGCGTAGCAGCTCCAACCCCATGGTCCCAATACGGTCTCTACGAGCAAGCATACACGGCACGCACGAGATTCCGTTATTATCTGTAGTGTAACAACGATCTCCACGAGACAATGGGCTGCCCGTCGAAAGGCAAAGGCAAATCGGGAAACTGAGCACCGCCGAGAGTAAGTGGACGACACTCTCGACGCCTTCGAAACCGGTCACTTCGCGGGTGACCGCCCTTTGTTCCGAGGCAAATGCGGAAGTCGATAGTCCTCTTCTTTATTCTTTTGAGGACTACGCTGTCCCGGCTCGTTCCTACGCTGGGTACTCATGCTCAAGGACAAGACATGTGTGCGGCATCTTCTCCGTCCTACATCAGCAACTTATCGTCTTCAAGTGATTCTTCACGGGATTCGGCGCGCGAGTTCAACATAGAGGCATTGGACCCGCTCACGTCCGCAGATTTCACATGGCTTCCTCTCCCGACCACGCGCCGCTTGCCGAAACCGCAATGTGCATCATTATGCGCCCATCTTCACACGTACTCATCCTTCTATGCACCACCAACTTCGTCGACGGATGACGAAGTTGCGATAGGGGACATCCTTGCATATGTCACCAAGGTGGCCCGCGAGTTTCTCAATGAGCGGTACGACGGCAACAACGCACTGCTCCTCTATATCCGCATCCAAGTTGGGCAAGCGTCCTGCAACGCTTTGCTGGATAGTGGCGCGTCCCTTGGCGCACAAGTTCGAAGGAAGGCAAACCTGACGACGATCAAGTTGGCAGACGGAAGGACGCAGCACCTTATCGACCGCTACATCGAGGCCGTACCGATATATTTCGCACCTCATGCATGCGAACCGGTGACATTTGACATTTTGGACACGAACTTCGACATTATTTTGGGAATGCCTTGGCTTGCAAGTGCGAATCACACGGTCAACTTCCACCGGCGGACTCTTACCGTTCGTGATGCTTTCGGCGCCGAAGTATTGTGCACTATTCGTCTTCCTCACTCTTCGATTCGGTGTCGAGTGGTAACGGCCAAGTCCTTCCGGGCTACTTGCGCTTACGAGCAGCCCGACGAGATAGGCCCATGCTTCCTACGGACCGTCGCGGTAACCGAATCTTCACCCACGAACTTATCTTCGGACCCCCGTGTGGTGCAGTTGCTTGACGAGTTCGCCGACATCTCCGAGTCACCTACCGGTGTGGTGCCGGATCGGCCAATCTCTCACGAGATCATTCTTGAGGTCGGTGCCGTGCCGTTGAAAGGTTGTATTTATCGCATGAGCGAGTACGAGCTTACGGTTTTCCGCGCACAACTCGATGACTTGTTGGACAAGGGTTGGATCCACCCGAGGAGCTCTCCATACGGAGCGCCAGTTCTCTTCGTACGAAAGAAGAATCTACGATTGTGCATCGACTACCGCAAGCTCAACGAGCAAACCGTCAAGGTCCTCCGAGCACAACTCGATGACTTGTTGGACAAGGGGTGGATCCGCCCTAGTAGCTCTCCATATGGAGCGCTAGTTCTCTTCATACGGAAGAAGAACAAGAATCTACGATTGTGCATCGACTACCGCAAGCTCAACGTGCAAACCGTCAACAATGCGGGGCCTCTTCATCGCATTGACGATCTTCTTGAGCGATTGGGCGACGCAAAGTACTTCTCTAAGTTCGATTTGAAGTCGGGATATCATCAAATCTCGATCTGACCGAACGATCGCTACAAATCCGCATTCAAGACGCGGTACGGGCATTTTGAATGGGTGGTCATGCCTTTTGGCCTCACCAACGCCCCGACGACCTTTCAAGCGACAATGACCAACGAGTTTCGTGCGATGTCGGACCGGTTCGTCTGGTCTACTTAGACGACATTCTCGTCTATAGCCAGTCATTGGAGGATCATCTTGAGCACCTTCGACGAGTGTTGGAGACGCTCCGCCGCGCCGGGTACAAGGCCAACCACGACAAGGCCATTTTGTCACACCGGAGGCATCAGTCCGCTATCGGACAAAATTCAAGCCATCCAAGAGTGGCCGGAGCCGCGGAACATCACGGATGTCCATTTGTTGCTTGGCCTTGCCGGCTACTACCAACGTTTTATCGAATACTCGAACATTGCGGCCCACTTGTCCAAGCTTCAATGCGAGGATCGGTCGTCTGACTTCGGGGAGGATGTGCAGGACTCATTTTTGGCTCTCAAAACCGCGCTATTATCTGTCGAGGTCTTGCACAAATACAACCCGCTATTGCCAGCGCGCGTCACTAGGGATGCGTCCGACTATGGCATTGGTGCCCTCCTCGAGCAACATGATGGCGTGGACTAGCACCCGGTCGAGTATTTCAGCAAGAAGTGCGCGTCTTGCACTCCATTGATGATGCACGCAAGGAGCTCCTAGCCTTCGTCCATGCACTCAAGCAGTGGTGGCACTTCCTCCTTGGTCGAAGTCAATTCCGATGGGTATCAGACAACAATCCGTTGGTCTTCTACAATACCCAAGACACCGTCAATAGCACCATCGCCCGTTGGACGACTTTCATTGACCAATTCGACTTCTTTCCGGATCACATTCCCGAGAAGTCGAACCGTTTTGCGGATGCTCTTTCGCGGCGTCCAGATCATTGTCCCGCAGTCTACTCGACCTTCAAGATCGGAGACGACCTGCAGGACAGCTTCATCCGCGGCTATCAAGCCGACCCCGAGTTTCGTGACAAGTACTCGAATTGCTCCTCTCTGAATTCGACGCCATCTCACTACTGGATCCAAGAGGGGTACTTGCTTGTCCACACGCGGGGGAAGGACCTTCTTTGCGTACCGAGTGACTCTCAATTGCGTACACGGCTTCTTGGCGAGTTCCACGATGCTCCCGCCACCGGACACTTTGGAACCGATCGCACGATTGACCGACTTCGCTAGCGATTTCGATGGCCCGGCCTTCTCGACAACGTCACACGCTATTGCGAGTCATGCGAGGTTTGCCGACGCTGCAAATCCCGCAACCATTGTCCGTACGGCACGTTGCGACCGCTACCGGTCCCCTTGTGCCGAAGGGAAGCGATTGCCATAAACATTACCGGGCCATTCCCCAAGCACAAGACCGGTGTGGATGGGATTCTCATGGTGGTCCACCGACTCACCAAGTTTGCCATGTTTTTCCCTTGCAGCGATCATGCCAAGGCACTGGAGTTGGTCGAGGTTCTACGCCGGTTGGATTCGAACCAAGGGTTACCCCAAGGAAATCATTTGTGACCCCGACCCTCGGTTCATATCCGATTTTTGGTAGGCGCTCATCAAACGATGGGGCTCATCTCTCAAGCCAAGTTCGGCTCGCCACCCCCAAACCGATGGCCAAACGGAGAGGGCTCATCAGACCGCACAGGTTCTCCTTCGCACTCTCATCCGTCCCGACCAAAAGGATTGGGTTGAGCGGCTACCGGATGTCCAGTTGGCATACAACTCGTCCATCCACCCGGCTATCGGGATGTCACCCTTCGAGTTCGAGCACGGCTCGCCGATCACTTCGCCGTTGGACACCATCATTCCACGAACGGCCGAAAGCGACGACCATCTTCTTTTCTTGCGTCGGATGCAAGAGCTACTTGTCAAGGCACTTGACCAGATGGCCAAGAAGCAGCAACGCACGAGCCAACAGGCCAATCTCCAGCGTCTTCCTTGCCCATTCCGCGCCGGCAATCTCGTTTGGGTTTCCCCCGCGGAATTCAGCCTTGAACAAGATATCTCTCGCAAGCTCCTCCCGAAATGGATAGGGCCTTGGCCGATCGCGGCACCCGCTGGGGATGCACCCGAGGGACCTTCCTTCACCATTCAGGTGCCTGCCCACTTGCCCGTCTACCCGGTCTTTCATTGCTCCAAATTGGCTCTTTATACGCCAGCGGAACATGACGATTTTCCCGGGCGACGATCGCAAGACTCACCCTCTATGGACGGTTTTCAAGAGGTCGACGACATCATCTCCCAGTGGCGCTACGACAACAGGCCAACCGAGTACTTGGTACACTTTGCGTACTGCAGTCACAGAGCTGACTGTTGGTTGACCCGTGTGGAGCTCCAAGCAACAGCTCTGGATGTTCTCGCACGCTAGGATACAAGATGCAAGGCAAGCCGGTATCTTCGGCTCCACGTCGCACCCGCCCTCGCCCCGGCTTGACTTCATAAGGAGGGGGGGGTGTTACATGCTGCGCCTGCAACAGGCTGCACGGGTCCCTTTCAGGCCCGTAAACAAGGGCCTACAAACCCCATAACGTTTCAGCCTGAAAGCCTGAAAACAAGGGCCGACAGGCCCTGTGTCCTTTCAGGCCAAATCAGGGCCTTTCCGGCCCTGAGTGTTTTCAGCCTGAAACTGAGGGCCATTTTCAGGCCCTCGTCAGTTCAACCCGCCCTGATACTCACAGGCCATTTCGGGCCTATTATCAAGACGACCCCTGGTTGAGCTTCAACGCCAGGGTCTGGCACGTTTCGGCATTGGCAAGAGCAGCCTCCTGTACGGGCCAGCACTATATAGGACTGGCCCGCCCTGCAGGCCACCAAGTAGTTCCTAGGTACTTCCCAGGCACTTCACGTGCAGTTCAGGAGGCAAGAAGTAGTCTTCAGGATTCGGCAGCAGCACTCGGGAGGAGCGCTGCAGGAGTAGTTGTAGTGCTAGTAGTAGTCTTCAGCGCTCGGCGCTAGTAGCGTTAGTAGTAGTCTTCAGCGCTGGGCGCCATAGGAGCTAGAGTAGTACTAGAGAGAGAGAGATTGGGCGGAGGCCAGGGATACTTACCTGCAGCGCCAGCTTCGCCTTCGAGGTACCTGCAGCACAGCGCCATCTTCACAGGTTAGTACCTGGCATATGAGAGAGAGAGAGTTCTTCTTCCTCCTCTTCTCAGTCCACCATCTCCCTCTCACCCTCTCGCTACCTGACTTCACTGCATCAGCCGACCACGAGAGAAAGAGAGAGCTTGGTGACATTTGGATCCAGACTCAACATTTGGGCTTCAGACATTTTGACGAGGGATTATTTGGGACTTGTAACAAAGACATGGTGTTAACGACACTCCCATCTCCCCCCCTCTTCTTTGTTTGTTCCCCTCCTCTTCGTCTGTGTATGATCTGGGCCTGGCGCCTTCTTCCTGTGTATAGCGCCAGGTCTCTTCACACCTTGTGATGAGGATGATGTATGTTTGGTCTGCGTTGCAACATTGATTGGGCTAGTCATTGGTATTCTAGCATTCTGCT